TGGCAGCAGCAGCGGCGAAGGGGCGATCGTCTGCCCCGCATCCGAACTGCCTGCTGCGCAAGGTTGGTGCACTTTCAGTGGCTACGGGCATCAAGCTATACTTACCCTGGGTGGACGCCGCACATCTGACAGCAGATGCGCTGCCCAGAAGGAGGTAGCTCGGGACGGGCGGGGCCGCATCGGCTCGACCCCGATCAGGCTGCCAGAGTTACTGAGAAGACTCTCGAGGCGTATCGGAGTGCTGGGCTTCAGTTTTCAGCCTGGGCGCTCCAGCGCAATTTGCGCCCCAGTGGCGCAGACCAGTGGGACGATCTCTTAGTTGAGTTCAGACATGATCAGATTGAACACCTCACTCCAGCAAAGTTTGTCAATGTTGTTGCGTCAGTTGAGTTCTTCTTCCCTCGGATGAGGGGCAAATTGTTGTGGAGTAAGGCTGTGATTGCAGGATGGGAGAGAAACGCTGGCAGGAAGCATACTGTACCCCTGGGGAAGTTACCTGGCAAGCTCCTGGGGGTTCACCTGGGCTCCAGAGGTCATCCTCGATTGGGTCTCGCCCTCATCGTGAAGTGCCACACGGGCCTACGGCCCTCGGAGCTCTTGGGCATACTACCTGAAGATCTGGTCTTTCCGCGAGATCTGGGAGAGGACATGGGCTCGGCTTCAGTATCAATAGCTCTGGCTCCGCGAACAGGTACCAAACTCAAGAGGTCTCAGGTGGCCCATATCTTACAAGAGGACCGGGACATCATGGAGGTGCTAGAGGACATCATGAGGGCCACCCCGGCAGGCAGTCCGCTCTTCCCTTACAGCTTGGCTCAGTACCGCAGGCTCCTGAAGGACGTCGAGGGCTCCCTGGGCCTCTCCATGGGGTGGGGCCCTCACAGCCCTGGGCAGGGTGGGCCACCGACTCTCGGGCAAAGGGCCTCTCCTTTGAGGAAGTTCGTAAGCGAGGAAGGTGGATTTCCGATTCCAGTCTAAGAATATACCTGGATATCATTGGTGCGAGTCACATCCTCATTCAACTCAACACGAAAGGTTTCGCACAGCAACTGTACTGGCTCAAGAGGGTCTGGAGCCAATACTTTCCAGCACACGTGTGGGGAGCGGCGGGTCCTCACGGACATGGCGCCGAAGGGCATGATCAGAGTCAATGGGCAGTGGGTCAAGGGCCCGGTGTCGGAGGAGGTGGGGATGGTGCCGCCGCTGCCAGCTGCACCTGTCACGCCAGGCAGCTGGATGGCAGTGAGTGCGCCAGCCTCAAGGGCTACGTCGAGGACGCCGTCGCCAGGGGCAGTCTCGTAGGTGCTCACGCCGCCCAAGAGCAAGTCTACTGGGGTACCCCCGCCGCCCACGACGCTCTCAGTTCCTCTGGACGAGACGGGCACCCCTCTGCCACACGCGGTGCAGTTCGTGGCGCAGCCGCAGAGGCCTCAGCAGCAGCAGCAGCAGCAGCGCGTCCAGAGAGTCAGCTACATGACAATCGCTGCCAACTGCAGTAGGATACTGGGGTCTTGGTTCGGCCCGTGCTTCTTTCCCGCCATCATCCTCGGGGTGATCTGTGTCTCCATACCGTCTGCTGTCTTCCCCAACATGTCCAGGAGTGCCGAGGCATCAGCAGCCTTGGTCGAGGATGTGGCAGGGGCTGGTGGTGCCAGAAGTCTTACGCTGGCCGTTTGTGGAGTGGCTCTGTCGATTGCAAGGAATTCAGCATCTCTGGTCGACGAGGCCTGGTCGGGCATCGACCTGCTGGGATGCCGACTCAACGTGACAGGTGGCCGCTTTCTCGTGGACATCGGAGCCCGCTCTCGCCCAAACATGATGGAGGAGCTCGAGCGAGGACTACTGGTGGTGCCTGAGGCTTTGGCTGTGAAGCTGTGGAGTTCCTTCCAGGCAGTGTCTCCCAGAGCGCCGTCGGCGACCAGGACCTCAGCTCAATTCAAATTCTCCGAGAGCTTTTTCATCTGGGATTGGGAAATGATGCAGGTGGCTGAGGAGATCCTAGCCATCCGCTTCTATTTCGCGAGACTGGGCTTTGAGCTACAATGGGCTAATCCGTTGTGGGGCCTGACTGGTGCCGATCCGGGTGGAGAGCTCGTGCGCATCACAGCCAGAGTCAGAGATGCATTCGAGACTGCAGTAGACGCGACGGCCATGAGAGCGCCGCTTAAGGCAGAGGTGCGTTCGCCCAGTTTGAATGGTTGAAGTACGCATGCGGGTGGTGGCTCTGAGGTGGGCAAAGCCATCAAACTTGAAAGGTGTCGCGTAGCGGAGGTTGGCACACTCATATACTCAGAGCGGATTGAAGTTTGGAGATTGAGGGATTTTCCATCGACTTGCGGGATGAGGTTTGATTTCAGTGCGATGCCCTCGATCGAGGGGAGTTTGAGATTTTGGTTTGCAGCACGTCCGAACTGACATCGAACGTGACATGATGACGTTGGTCAATTCGTGTTCTGGTGCAAGGAAGGGTGCTGCATCATGTTTGCTCTTACCCCCAGTCCATCATAAACAGGGGGGGGTCACTACTGGTTCGAACCCCCCCCCCCCTTCGAAAACGGGGGGGGGTCACTACCGGTTCGAACCCCCCCCCTTCGAAAACCGGGGGGGGGTGCGGACAGTGGTGGGGACAGTGGTGAGGGGACAGCGGGACAGTGTTGGGGACAGTGGGACAGTGGTGGGGACGGTAGTGGTGGGGACAGTGGTGAGGACAATGGTGGGAACAGTGGGGACAGTGGGACAGTGGTGGGGACGGTGGTGGTGGGGACAGTGGTGTGGGGACAGTGGGAATGTGGTGGAAACAGTGGGACAGTGGAGGGTACAGTGGTGGTGGGGACAGTGGTGAAGGCGGTGGCGAGGACGGCGGTGGGACAATGGGACAGAGGTACAGTGGGGACAGTGGTGGGGACAGTGGGGACAGTGGTGGGAACAGTGGGACAGCTCAGTGGGACAGCGGAGGAGTCAGTGGGACAGTGGGGACAGTGGGGATAGTCGGGCAGTGGTTGGGGCCGTGGAGAAGTGGGGAGAGTGGAACCGTGGTGGGAACAGTGGTGGGGACAGTGGGGACAGTGCGACAGTGGTGGGGGCACTGGTGGGGACAGTAGGGACGGTGGTGGAACCAGTGGGGACAGTGGTGGTGAGGACAGTGGTGCTGGGAACAACAGTGGGGGATGTGGTGCGGACGGTGGTAGGGACCGGGAGTCGTTTGCTGGCGGTGAGGGGGGGGGGTGGGGAGGGGTTCGAACTGGTAGTGACCCCCCCTCCGGTTTTCGAGGGGGGGGGTTCGAACCGGTAGTGACCCCCCCGGTTTTCGAGGGGGGGGGGGGGGGGGGGGGGGGTTAGGAGAGGGGGGGGGGTTTGCCGGGGGAGGGGAGGGGGGGGGTCCAGCAGGGGGGGGGATTTTCGGAGGGGGGGGGGGGAAACCCGGGTTCCGGACGAAGAGGGGGGGTGAATTTTCCACAGTAAAGCGGCGGTGGATCACGCTCTCTCATTGCATGTATGTATGCATGTATGTATCCATGTATGTATGCATGCATGCATGCATGTCTGTCTGTCTGTCTGTCTGTCTGCCTGCCTGCCTGCCTGTATGTATGTATGTATGTATGCATGTATGTAAATCGATGTGTGTATGTAAGTGTGTATGCATGTATGTATGTATGCATGCATGCAGGTGTGTACGTATGTTTGTACGTATGTGTATATACATATGGATACGCATCGATGTACATATGTATATATATGTATGATACGTATGGCATGTTATATACGAGCTCGCACATTTTCGCGCTCTCGCCATTCTGGGCTTCTGCAAGCCCTAGGCTGTCCGCGATGCCCCCCAGACTGGCCCATCACTGTCCGAGAAGCTCCAACGGGGTCCAGGGACAATCGAAGAGGGCCCCAAGACTGCCCAACAGAGCCCCCAAAGACGGCTAAAAGAGCCTCTAGAGGGCCCCGGGAGGGCGAATCGTGGTAACTCGCAGGCCCCCCCCCCAAGATCCCCAGCATACGCCCAAGAGAGAGGCCTGCAAGAAACTCTAAACAGGAGCTCTGAAAAGGCTTCCAAGAGGCCGCCCCCGAGGCCTCCAAGAGGACCCCAAGAAGCCCCTCAACAGGCATGGAGGAACGAGGAGGACAAATCAGCCACCACACGAAAGCAACACGACGGGAAGCGGCACACAACATCTACGACATCGGAAGCCGCACGTATTCTGTTCTGGGAGTCGGCGGAATGGCGCAAGCCTGTTGAGCAACAATGGCGTCTGACTACGTGACGGATCCCAGACGTCATCTGCTACAAGCTGGGACAAGCGCGTGCGAGAAGAGGTGGCAATCGCAGTAGCCGGTGGTAGCACGAGTGCTGGTCGCCAGACGTTATCAACTACTTGCTGCCACCAGGGTGTGGGAGAAGAGCCAACACTCGCATTAGGCGCTGGTGCGAGTGATGAACACCAGATGTCATCATATACATGCTGCGACCTGCGTGTGCGAGAAGGCTCGTCAGTGGTGGCAGCGCGCGGAGCGAGAGCTGAATACCAGACGTCATCAGCTGAATGCTTGGGCCAGCTTGTGGGGCAGTCCTAACAATGAACGCAGGTCACGGGGCTGGTGGGGCGAGAGACGGAAACCAGACGCCATCACCCGCATGCGGGGACCATCGTGTGCGAGCAGAGTCGGCAGTCGCAACAAACTGTGGCGCGATTGATGAGAACCAGGCGTAATCAGCTACATGTTTGGACCAGCGTGCGAGTAAGGTCGGCAGTTGTACCTGTCGGCATTGGTGCGAAAGCTGACCGCCTGATGTCATCATCTATTTGCTGCTACCAGGACGTGGGAAACGAGCAAGCAGTCGCATCAGATCACAGCCAGCGCAAGCGCTGGACTCCAGGCGTCATCAGCTGCGCGCAGAAGCCAGCGTGTGGGAGAGAACCAGCAGTGACAACAACCGAGCCCAAGAGGGACCCGGGGCTGCGCGCGGACAATACAATCACAATGAAGAAGACGAATCACGTGATCATGACAACAAACCGTACCAGCGCGCTAGCACGCTGTAGCCCACAATCGCGCAACGCCTGCCGCCACAAACACGTGCAGAGCGCCATGCTCAATATGCGCAGATGTTCGGCCGTGCTGCAGATGGCGAAGGCAGCGCTACGAACCACCTACTGCACGCCACCGGCAAAGCCCCAACGTCCCCAGATGCAGCGCGTGTCCAAGGCCAATGTTGAAGCAACCACCTTGACAACTAACGAACATGCAACTTCCTGCTGACCCCGCGTTGGCCTCGGCAACAGGGGAACTCGGCCAAACATCCAACCGACACAATGATCCAAAATGTAATGCCATAGATTAACAAAATGACGAACTCCTCCGACTTGTAAAGCGGACGATCCGTGTACCTTCATTGCGGCGGCAACGCCAAACTGGATACACGAGGACAGAACTAATTCCTTTCAAAACGTGTTTTCCTACAAAACACTGCTGGCATCCGCGCCCGGCATACGACCACTGATCGCGCGTGTTCACCAACTGCCGCCCAAACGCGTGGTCCTTGAGCTGGACATTTTGCAACATCATCACGTTCGGGCTTCCCCCCCTCTTCGTCTCACTCCTGGTCCGTCTGTCCCTCCTCCTCTTCCTCCTCCTCCTCCTCCTCCTCCCTCTCGCCTCTGCGCCCAGGCCGACAGCAACAAGAACTGCACCCCCTTTTGGCCAAGGAGGAGTGGAGGAGTGGGAGGAGGGGAAGAGAATGCAAGAGGGGGAGGGAGGGAACAACTGGCGTCACCACAATCAATATCGTTCGCAAACCTCCGAGAAACAAACAACAACTAGCATACGGCAAAATATTACCTTGACGACATGGGTCCTGGTTTCCGACACCGCGTGAACCACTCAACTTTCAATAACTTCAACTCTCGGAAGCACCTCCAAAGGCTGCTGACCCCAACTATCGTTTGGATTTGACGCCGTGGGTCCAAGCTGGGTCCCGGGGCCCGAGACGAGACCCCAACAAGACGAGGGGCCAAAACAAAAAACAACACCGGGATGGGATCAACCGCGAACCTGACAGAATGAATCGAGCAGCAGAAGCAGAGGGTGTCGAAGCCACCTACGGCAGAGATGACAACACACCAGGCAAATCAGGAGGGCCAGACCTCAAGCCTCATCCTGGGGGGGGGCCCGCCTCCTCGGCCTGCCCCTGGGCACAGGCGGCGAGGCGGGCCGCCTCCCCCTCCACACAAGTGACTCGCGAAAACCTGTGAACATCGGCGGACCTGGAAGTTGTCTCGGGCGCCGCGGCCGCCCCGCAGTGCTTCGGAACACCCTCGCAGTTCCTTGGAACGGCCTGGCAGTTGACTCGTGCTCTCCCGAAGCCTGACTGACCCAGGGCGTGCTCGACCTTGACCGCCCGCGCTGGCGCCGCAACCGCGTCTACGAAGCCTCCAGCCCCTGCAGCCCTGACTCTGGATCCGCCGTGCCGTGGGCGATTTCGCAAGCAAGGCCGAAATTGCCGCTCTCCTTGTCAAATTCCTTGGATGCCGATTTCAGCCCTGATTTGCAGTCGCTGTTTCTGCCATACTGTTGCGAACATATCCGCCCTACCTTTCTGAGGCGGGAATTTCCGCCAATTATTTCGCATCGCTTGGTCTGCAGTTCCGATTTACGGCGGATCCAGAATCAGACCCCCCCATGTATGCGCCAGGTGAGCCTCGCAGACCTCGTCCACCCAGGCCTCCGCCATCTCCTCCAACAAGGGGGGGCAGTCTCCCAACGGCCCGCCCAGCGGCGGCCGCTGGCAAGAGGAGGCCGAGGAGCGGAGCCAAGAACATCGGGGGAGAGGGGAGGAGAGGACGGAACGGTCCTCGCTCCACTCGGGCCTCCGCCAAGGGGCGACCAATCATCAAATGTGTCAAAACAATTTTTTTGTGTGCGTGTTGAGACTCTCTGTGTGCCAACCGTTGGGGATTCAGTCACCCGGTCGCTTTCGTGACCGATTCGCCGAATTCGATCAAACAGCTTACCGAGAGCGGTCCGTATGTTGTTCCAGAAATCAAGTGGTGCTCTTAATGGGGACGAATTTGAGTGTACACTATGGCATGCGATGTTGTTTGGGCCTTTGCGTGTTCGCCACCATGTCTGGATGCATCATCGCGCGTGAATGGTCTCACCGTAGACCCACAAATTTCGCACCGCAACAGCGTATTCAACGCAACGAAATTCAACGCCATGCCAAACAATGCTAATCAACCCCGAGCAATGTTGATCAAACGCTTCATTCAAGTCAAATCGCTATCCATGTTATCTTGCAACGTGGCTACACTTCACACCGTCATCATCACCAACACATGCGTCATCACCATCACCGTTGCGAACATTAGAATCACTGCCGTTCCCATTAAGGTCATTGTTCTATTACGGCACCCTCTGGGACGATATGATGCTGATGTGTACTTCCCATGTGTCATGTGGCGTGATATTGTTGTACGTTGTGGAATGCGCGCCCCGTTGAATTACTGTACGTGATGAGAGAGAGGGGTGCCCGAACGGGATGACTTCTTCCCCGGGGGGTGCGTTGGCAATTGCGACGGGTTTACCTCCAGAGTGGACACTGGGGATGGACACTGGGGATGGACACGGGGGATGAACACTGGGGACGAACACTGCGGATGGACACTGGGGACGGACACGGGGGATGGACGAGCAAGTACGTAAGGGAAACAAAATTGATCGAAAAAGGACGCTGTAATGGTTTCGACGGGCGCACTGGCTCGCGGCAGACTCAGGAAGGCACGTTCCGAGGCCAGCGCGCCCCTCAGGCCGCAATCGCCCGGGGATCACGCAGCCGCCGCGGTGCCATCGCTTGTCAATGCGACGAGAGGCAAATAATCTAACATCGCGATTTCGCGCGAATTACACCTCAATGTGACAATGGCAGTGGTGACGAAAGAAAGGATGCGAACCCTGTTTCTCGGCGTGCGCCCAAGGGCGTGTCTCGTGTCTTGACCCATGGTTTTTACAGTTCTGTCTGTGTGACACATAAACTAGCGCCACATGCTCTGGGTCCTGGAACCGATCGAAAGGATACCCCCCCGACGTTTTTTTTGTCGGACGCGTACACCTCGCGAAAGGGTCGAGCGATCCGGGAAAGAAGACGCGACCAAGACAAGCGTGAAATCGAGAGCTCCCAGGGCGTCGCGCCTCCAGCGCGCAGCTGAGCACGCGTTACTAAGTATGCCAAACATTTTTATATATATATATATTAAAAAAAGAAAATGTTATTATTATTTGTTTAATGAGGGGAACGGCAAACCTGGAGGGCTGGCTTGTGCCAGCGTTCTCGTCTTGCGTCGCGCCGGCAGAGCCTCTCCTCGCAGCAGCAGTGTTGCGCCCTCCTTTGAGGGGGCGGGCGCGGACAGGAAGCGCCGATATCACCGCTGAAAAAACAGAGAAGCAATCTTCGCGCCGAAGACGGACAAGGAGACAATTCGAAACGTTACACAATCCGGTACGTCAGCGGTTTATAATCGGAACATAAGATTTGTAATGTACACGTTAACTGCTTCATGCCTTGCTACTCTGCCCACTTCCATGACCACTCTCCGATATAGCACCTGCGTGGGACTCAAAGAATTCGCGTGCTCCACCCATCTTCGGCCCTGGCTGTGGCAGCCGTGGACTGTTCCACTGAGTCCTTCAGATTCTTCCAACGGCGCTCATTGGCCCCCGGTCGGCAGCACTTCTTGCTCCGCCGCTTCTTCGCCAGGGCGGCTGCGCATCCTGCTCCTCCTCGCCCTCTTTGTTGGACTCAGCAGGCTGCTGCAGCTCGTCGCTCCAGGGGGCGATGACCTGCCAAACCGTCTCTGAGTCGCGCGCGGAACCGAGCGTGCTCGTCCCCGCGACGGCGGCGCGGTCGCTCGACGACGACGCGGGCGACGCGCAGGGCGGAGGGCGCGAAGAGGAAGAAACGGCATCATGGCGCCCATCGGAAGGCGGCCGCCCCGACGGATCTGGGTCGTGGAACCTATCGGAAAGGGCGCCGTCCCGACTGGTGTCCAGACGCTAAGACCGCCCTCCAAGGCGCAGAGCCATCGCCAGCGATGTCGCCGCGATTCTCGGGGCCTGGCATGACTGATGCGCGGTGGGCCACTGCCCGGGTAGGAAAAATCCCGGCCATAGCGTCGACGAGCACTTGGATGACGCAAGCGGCGGCGAGTTTCCTGAGGGCATCCGCCGCCATCTCTTTCGTCGGGCAATTCAAGATCCTGACCCTTCCGAACTGGCATTCCTCCAGTAGCCGCCTGGCCCTGACCGCGCAGTAGCGGGCCCTCCGGGTCGCCCCAAAAGAAGCAGCTGTCAAGGCTGCCCGGTTGTCAATCAGGCTGCCGACGCTGCCTGGGTAGATGCCGATGGTGTTGAGAAAAGAGCGGACCCCCATCGGTGACCTGCCGGCCCGCTGCCGCCGCTCGCAGCTCGGCCGCAGAAGTAGATAGGGCAGACAAGGCTGCGCGACATGACCTCCATGCGATAACTGATCCGGCCCGCGTGATGGCCAAACCATTCTGCGACGTGGTGTCTGCGCCTGCAAAACCAGCGTCGCTGTGCGCGATGAGGTCGCCCTCGTAGCCCTTGGTGGTCACGGTGTGGCCCTTGTCGGCAGTGCCGGCCAGACACCTCAGGACCGCGTGCGCCAGGTCTCTGCTCCAGGCGCCCTGCATGGGCGAACTGGATGCCGACGGGCTCATGTAGTAAGCAACGTCGCACCGCGCGCGCAGTTGAAGGTGCCTCAGTACGACTGCAACTCCGCGAATTGCTCTGGAGAGGGGGGGTCGTCCACCTCCTGGGGGTGGTCGATGGTGGTGTTCTTCGCAGGGCGGCAGTGGGGCATGTTGTGTTTGCTTGGCAAATCCCTCGTGAACCGCTCCTGGATTAAGAAGATGCCCCCGTTCGCCAGCCGGTGCCAGTCGATGCCGAAAAACGCGGGGGGCGTCTCGGTGGTCGGCATGCGCCCCGGGCCGGACTCCCGCCAAGAAGTGAGGGAGTAAGGGCCTGGACCATGGCATCCCGCAGCAGGACCGACGGGGCCATCGCCGCAAAATCGTCGACGCACACGCATAAAACTCCAAGAGTATGTTGCACCCCCGCTCTCCCGGACTGAGCGCCAGGTGCCTGGTTGATCATCCAGACCTGGCTGTCCGCGGAGTCTGCGCTGAAGACGAGCTGTCTGAGGCGACGACCACGTTCGTCGGACCACCATTTCGGGCTCTGACGGGGCCCATGCACAGAGCGGCGCAAACGCCAGACAACGTCTCGACCGAAAATGCCCCAATCTACCCATTGTTTTGGCGGCTGCACTAAGATCAACTCGTCTTTCGGCAACGGTGTATTAAGAAAAGCTTCTTTCACATCCAGAGTGCTGATCGACCGCCCCCGAACAGAGGCCAACTTGGCTACGGTGAAGATGCTGGACGGCTCCGCCTGCGCTGTCCATCTCTGCGCGGCTGGGCCCAGCTACTGGAGATTCCCAGCGACGCAGCCCCGGTACTTCCTGTGGTCCTCCGAAGTGCAAAACCAGACCTTGAGCATCGGTAGGGGTTCTTGCCGTGCTCTATCCGCTCCTGCTCCGTGGCTAGCTGGATTGCCTCTCTGGTCCTGAACGAAATGCGTTCGGCTTGCGCGGCCAATGTCCACGCGTCGCGGCCCCGACCGACAGCCTTGCGAATCTCTGCTGGTTCCGCGATCGTCTTTCCAGGCTCTGGGCCAGCAACTTGTCGAATCACCTCGAGATCGGCACCGTCGAAGTGCTCGCTCTCCGCGCCCGCGGCGGCCATGGCAGCGCGCGCGGGCAGCCGCGCGTGGCGCGCGAAGCTCGTTGCGCCACGAAGGTCGCGTCGAAGACGACGGCGCCGGCGGCGAGCCTTGCGAGGTAGTTCGTCGAACTCTTCCCTGGCAAGATCGGCCTCCATAGAGTTCTGGAAATCGTCCGTCTGCTCGTTGTGATGCTCGATGTGTTTGCTGTCGTCGAAATCGTGCTCGCGCTCGTCGGCCGAGTCTGGGCAAATGGTGGCGAAGCCGTCGTGGTCAGAGGAATCAGAACTGCAGTCCTCGAAGAGCTGGTCGTCCTCGTCAGGGGCTTCTGCGTCGCCATCATGCGAGAGATCTTGGTCTACTGATCCCCAAGTGGCCGCCTCGGACAGAGAGGGTCGCGAATGTGGGTACTTCAAGATGACGTTCAAGGACGTTGCCTCGCACTTGCGCTGAACCTCGCCTGAAGTTGCTGCCACTTTCGCGGCGGGAGGCGGCGGCCGCCCATGACCTTCTCGAAGATGGTCTGCAGGGTTATCATCTGCCTCGTCGGCCAGCGGAGGTCCTTCAGCAGGTGCGCCGGGCACTGGCCGCGCCCTGAGACCCCCCCCAGGCCAAACTGCGGAGACCCAACTGCCGCCTCTTGCAGCGAACGGCCACGCAGGCTGGACACGTGGCTGCCCCTCGCGTCGCTGCTCCGCCTGGTAGAAAGGAAGCGCAACAGTTCCAGCGTCATACTTCTCAGGTTCTGGCAATGGCAGCGGAGCGTCAGGTGGATCCCAGCTGCTCCTGTTGATCTTGACCGTGTTCCTCCTCGTTCGAGCCCTGGGCCTGCAACTTGGTTTTGGCCGTCACAGGGCCTCGCTGGCGCGTCCGATTTCTCGTTCGCGGCAATGCTGCCGGAGCCGAACGCAGTCGCAGGCTCTGCGCGCGGCAAGAAAGCGCTCCTCGGAGGTGGGGCGTGTGCCAGCAACGCCTTCCCGCCAAAATGCATCCGGGGGTGCTCGCCCAGCCCTGCGCCTGCCCTGCTGTGCCAAACTGCAGCAAAAGTCGCCACCCCCCGCCAAGTGGTTGGAAGTCTGCTTCCGCTCAAAAGGTATCTGGCCCTGCGTTGCAAAATGCCGGCGGCTGATTCGGCCAAGGCTTTCCCGTTCGGGTTGCGCCCAGCGGTCGACGTCTCGTGCGCGCCGTGGCAAGCGCAATAAATAATGGCTGATTTCGTCGTTGATGATCTCGGAGCCCTGGTCGCTATGCAGGCGAAACGTGAAAGATGATCTCGTTCGGGCAGTTGGCGCGGTCGTTGTTTACCTGGGCAAGGCGATGCTGGACTGCTTCGGGGGCCTCGCCCTTTGCGCCCAGCAGGGCGGCATGTATCAGAGATGGCCGCTGCAATGCCTGTCCTGCAATCTCGCCCGCTGGCTCCCGGCAGCCTCCTGGCCCAGAAGTCTGCGCGCCCGCGACGCACGGAGATGCCGCGCCATCTGGCCTCGCTGGGCGCGCCGGGAAATAATGGCATGGATCTTTGGTCATGCGCCCTCCTGGCCAGGGCGTCGGCTCATGAAGCCCACTCACGTCCGTGGTGCACGCGCCCAGAGACACGCTCGACCGACGATGGTGCTGTCGGCGACGCAGCGCGGCACCTTGCCACATGGCGCTCTCGGTAGACTACGTTTGATGCTGCCGAAGCTCGTCCCTCAGGCTGCCGTTCGCCAGGTCGGGCAGGTCCCGGTGCTACAGGGCAAGCTGCATTTGAAGTCCGGCTGCCGCCTCTGGGCTGCCAGGGGCTTCGCCGGCCCCCTGCTCCGACGGTGCCAGAGCGCGCCCTTGGCGCAGTTAGTGCCCGCGTCGACTGCTGTAGCGCTGCCTCCAGGGACTGCGTCCGCGCGCGCAGGGCATCATGGCGCCAATGTGATCCATCACTCGATTGGCGGCTTGCGCCGCAGAATTGGCGAGCCCTGCGCGCCCTTCGAATGGGGGCCCTCCTGGCAAACAGCTGGAACCATCGCGGCGACGGAATCGATCGAAAGGTGCCCATCCCGGCGAATCGAAACGCGCCCCTCCCGACGGATCGCCCACACTTGGCACTTGTAAATACGATGCGGGTGAAGCCGTGCACACAGTAGAATCCGTCTTGCCACGCATGCCCCATCTTACCACCCACATTCCCAATCCAATGCGATTGTGCAATCTGTGGTTGCACTGGTGCAGTGGGTACGACGTACTTGAAGCCGCGCGCGCCGTAGGACCCGCAATGCCATTAACACTCCCAATGCCATGCGATTGTGCAATATGTGAACGTGCTGGCACTTGCGACTATGCCATACTTGAGACCACGCGCGCCGTTTGAACTATATAGCATCGTTTGAATACTGGGTGATCTTGTAGAGGCAGCGTCATAAAACATGTTCCACTGAACACCGAGATTCTTGCCCGCAACCATATGATGTAGCTCGCGAAGCACAGAGTCAAACCATGACGTCATGCCACCAAGCTTTGCAAGAGAAGGCGTGCGCCCCCGCCCCCTTCAGCTGGATCGGGCTCCCGTGGGCGGTCAAATAAAATGCGTCGGCGCTCCTCTTCAGGGCGCTGCGCCGCGGGGGCAGCGCGACCGGCTCCGCGAAGGTGCATGTGTTCGAGGCGGCCGGGGCACTGCGCGCACAAGTGTGGTAACTCGCGGGGGCCCTTGACAGGCGACCTCTTCCGAATAAGCTGCCCCTCCAATTGCCCTCCGCGCGCGCGCTGGCCCAGCAGGGCCGCGTGGAACTGCGCGGCCAGTGCGCGCTGGAGCGGGCCCTTGGCGAATATGTCGAAACGCGCGCTGTCCTCAACCGCGCAGCGTCTGCCCATCGCGACACGTTGGCACATGCATGGCGCCAATAACTTCAAACATGGTGTCTCGGATCGCCTCCTGGCCTCCGGAACATCCACTGATCGGCCCCGCGCGTGGTCTCCCCGCGGGGCGCAGTTTGGCGAGGCGAACGATGTCTCGACGCCGGGGGGGATCATCGCGTCCACGATGATCGTCTGGTCGTTGGCCACCCCTGTGCCCCATCCATATCGGTAGTCATGTGGCGGTGGGTGGGGGGCGCCTGCGCTGCGAGCGTGGTCGCTCAACGCCGATGACCCACTGCAGTTTCCCAAATGCAGGACAAGCCTGCTGGCGACCCCTTGGACCGCGCTGCGTTGTCGCCCATCGTTTCAAAGAGCTCGGGCGCGATGAAGGCGCCGACGTCGTCTAGTGATGCAGTTCTGGCAGGTTGCGGCGCTTGGACTGGATGGATTGCACGCGCTTCTTGCCGACGTCGTCTACGAGGTGCGTGATCTGCGAACGCGGCTGCTTCTGGTCAAATACTGCCCTGAAGACTCCGGCCGCTGCCGGAGTCACAGCCTGGCGCCCGCTGCGGCCGGGCTGGAAAGTGTCGGGCAGATCGTTGAAGACATGGCAACGCGCCCCGCGTCTGGATCTTGACGACGCTGCCCCTCGGAGTCCGCAAGACGCGCTGGTCGCCCCGCTCAATGGTGCAACAGCCTTCCCACGGGAATCCTTCTGGAAAGAAATCAACGTTATCGCTGTCGTCCTCCCAGGGTGCGAAACATCGCGGGGCGCCTTTGCGCCCGGCGCCCCGTCGGCACCTGCGCTGGCCATGTGCCGGATAGAATGCGCATGGATTCGCGGCGCCAGAAACAGGGCCTCTCTGGTGAATCTGGCGCGCAGTGGCCCAGCTGTCCAATCCAGCGGCCTGTCCCCGTCAAAAGTTGCCTCGGCCTGCGCGGCGGGCGCTGGTGGAGCACCGGCCGGTTGCTCAGACAGAGTCGCGTTCGCCGCGTCTTGTCCGCGCCCTTGTCCTTGTCTTTGCCTTTCCCTGTGGGGTGTCCTTTGCCGCGCCCCCTGGCGCCTGTCTTCCTTGCGGCCGCTGCCTGTTCTTTCCTCTTGCGGTGCTCCTCCCGCGCCGCTTCGCGGATAGGATCGGCTTCGCCTCCGGGCGCCTCGCAGTCCTTCCATCCGTGGTCTTCGGCGCCGCAAGCAATGCAACGGCCCGCCGTCGCAGGGGGGCCTGGGTTGGGAAAGTGGCAGCTGATGCCGCGATGGCGCGCGCCGCGCTCTGTCCGAGACCTGCGCGGGTTGGCCCAGCTAGACGTCGTGGGGGGGTATCGGGCGGCAGCGGCATGCTCAGTACATGGTTGCGTTGGTTCCACCGCTGCTTGCCGAAGAGCTGCGGCGCGTTTCTTTTCCGTTTCCTTGATCTGGTGTCTGCGCGCCTTTCAGTCGCCGGCGAGAGAGAGGCGGCCCCGCGTTGCGGCCGGCGCCCCCGCGCAGAGCCAGAGCTCCCAACTCCGCCTCTGCGATTGCAGCGGCGCGTTCGATTGCTCGCGGAGAAATCGCATGAAGAAGACCGAGATGAATGCGAATATGGGCCCATATGCGGTTCAGCTGCGGCTCGGCTTTGTCGAACGCAGCAGGGGGAATGAATTCCGTGGCTCTGCGATCCAGTGGGTCTGGAGGGCGGCGCCCAAGCTCGGCGCGCCTCCGGATTTTCGCCCCCCGCCTCAACAACTCCACCTGGGCGGCGCGCGGTTGCAAGCGCGCGTTTAGATTCAGTGCACAGTTGATCGGGCGAACCTTCTCGCCTGCGCCGCCCGGGGAGAAGGTCTTCATCGCGTAGAAGAGCAGAACGTCTGAAATATCCACCGTGCCTGGGCGGGGCCTCAAATTTACCCGATCGCGAATGTCCCCCGGCAGCGCGTCGAGCACGCGCGGCCGAATCCACGCCTCTGCGGCAATGCCTCCGACATTGGGGCCATAGGGGGGGCCGCTTCCTGTCGGTGAATCAGCGTACTAAGAAACAGAGATTGCACGCCTTCTCGGCCTCGCGTTGGCGCCACTTCCGCCGCCGGATCGCGCGCGGCCCGGCCGGGCCCGCGGCCTGGTCGACGATGGTCCGCCGACTGAGAAGTCGACCTGCTCCTGAAAAAAAGAATTGCCCACCTCCTGCTTGGGGCGCGCTGGCGCGCGCGCAGGAATCGACTTCAGCGACGCATTCAGCCCCCATGAGCATGAGGACTGCGGGGGCGCAGCCCCGTCGAAAAGCCGGGTCGAAGACGGCGCGGATCCTCCGAGGGCCCCCGGAAGCGGCGTTCCACAACTCGCGCCTAGCAGCTGCAAGTGCAGTTGGGCCCTCTGCCCCCGCTGCAGCCTGGCCCCCTGGGGGCCGCGCGCCTCCCAGAAACGGAAACGCGTCGCTGTCAATCGTGTTCGGAGGAGTCGTCTGCGGCGCCGCGGCGGCCAGCGAAGGTGGCTGCGCGCGCGGGGCGACGCTGCCGCCCGCGAGTTTCCGCTGGTTGACACTGACCTCCGCGCCGCGGAGGTTCGCGAGCAGACGACTGGCCAGAACTCCGCCGCGCGACGCGCCTGCGCCCTAGGAGTGGGCGCCCTGGTCGTTGGCGATGCCCCGTTGCATCAGTCCTGGTGGCAGTTGTTGTAGCTGTCCGAGAATGGCGAGTCGAGCGCTCAAGATTGGGCCCCCGCGCGTCGCTGGCAGGTTCACCTCCGTTCCAAGTAAGTTCACCGTTGCGCGGCCGCCGCCCCGCAGCGGGGGCCTCGCTGTAGGCGCGGCGGTTGGCCGCGGTGGCAGCTCCAGTGGCCGCCGGGCCCCTGGCCCCCTGCAGTGGCGAACTTTTCGTCGACCGCGCTTCCTGCCCCAAAATTCAGGGCGTGATCGCCGCCGGGCGCGTCGTGCCACTCGGTGCTCGGGCCGGGATGGCCGCGCTGGCTTGCCGCGCTTCGCGGCGCGCCGCCGTCGCTTAGCTGGCAATGTTCTGGTCGGCGCGGCTCGGCGCTGCCGTCGGGGCGCTCATCTTGAGGTTGAGGAGACTGCCGGGATGCCCATTCGAACTCTACCTGCTCCACTCTGCCTCCGAAGCGGCCAGCCGAGTCTCCGAGGTCCTTCGCTGTAGTTGTTGGGCCGTCTACCACAGATGCCAAATTCTGGATCTTCTCGTTGAGCTCGCTGACGCGCGCTGGAGCGGAAACCGAAGCGCCGCCGAGCCTGTCTGAAGGTGGCCCTCCCGACGGCCTTTGGGCGAGGGGACTATCTGATAGTTCCCCCCCGAATGGCCCCCAGTCGTTGGCGCTTCGGTCGTTCCAGGAGCGGCGCCGTCGCAGGCGCTGTTGTAGGAGCTCAGTGGCGCGCGCGTCGCCATCTCCCCCGTGGTTGGTGGTGCGGGTGGCGGTTGGTCGCCCAGGCGCTCCGCTCTGGTTGTTCTCGCGCTGGAGGTGGAAGAGGCTGTCGCGTTGGCTCAGGCGTCGGCTCGCGCTGCTGCTTGTAGAACGGACTCTCAGGGAAGCCCGCGCGGTCTTCAGAACGAAGATGTCGTACGTGGCCTGGGTTGGACGCGTGGCGCGCCAAACAGTGGCCCCCCGCGGAGCGGTCGCGCGACCGGGCCTGCCTTGCGGCTCGCTTCGGCCTCAGGAACTCGCAGGCAGAGCGTCGCCCTGAAGCGAGTCGGCCCGGTCGGTGGTTCAGGGGCTGGCAAGGCCATAGCCTCTGCTGGAGTAGCTATGCCCGCGGCCCCTCGTGCCATTCCACGCGCGAGCGAAAGCGCTGCGCCTGTGGCGGTCGCCGCCGCGCTCCCGTTAGCCGCGCCCACAGACGCAGAAAAAAAACCGAATGCTTCAGTGGCCCAGCCTCGCCAGGTGGTGAGCTGGTCGGCCAGGGAGCGCGTCCGCAATTCGCGTCGTAGGCTGTTCACGTAGGAGGCGCACCGCTGTGACGCACCAGCCATGCAAGTCCCCCAAAATGGGCGCCTTTGAATTTACTCCAAATTGATGCGTTGTGAATGGCCGCGCGCGCCGCAGTGCGTGCGCGGCGCGGGCTCGCGCGCTCGAGCATTGCACCTCTGGCAGTTCGCGTGTAATTCAACTAGAAATTCCTCAGTCGGCGTTGGGCCCGCAACCGCTCTCACTGCGACGAGAGGCAAATTATCTGACATCGCGCGAATTGTCTCTCAATGTGACCCTGGCAGTGATGACGGGCGAAAAGATGCGAACGCTGTTTCTCAGCGCGCGCCCAGCGGCGTGTCTAATACCTTGAGCCGAGGTTTATGCAGTTCTGTATGCGACACATAAACTAACGCCACGCGCTCTGAGTCCTGGAACCGATCAAAAGGACGCCCTCCCGTTTTTTTTTTTTTTTTTTTTGTTCGGGCGCGTGCGCCCCGCGAAGGGGTCGAGTGCTCTGGAGGAGAAGACGCGACTCAGACAGGGGCGGAGTCGAGAGCTCCCGGGGCGTCGCGCTTCCAGCGCGCGCGTGAACACGTGCCACTATGCCGACATAGAAAGTTTCGCAAAGATGCGAAGAGAAAGGCGCCCCTGGAGGGCTGGGTTGTGCCGGCGTTCTCGCCTCGTCGCGCCGGCCGAGCCTCCCTTCGCAGCGGCAGTGTTGCGCCCTCTGTCGAGGAAGCGGGCGCGGACAGGGAGCGCCGCTATCTCTGCTGCGGAAGGAAGCGCTGGAATCTTCGCGCCGAAGATAGGGGGGGACTTCTAAACGGTTAGAAGATCCGGCGCGCAAGCTGTATATAATCTGGACATAAGATTTACATTGTACATATGGTATGTTTCATACCTTGCTCACAAACGTGGGACTTAAAGGACTCGCGTGCGTCGACCTCCACCGCGCCGCCGTCTGCCAGAGGCCCGTTGAAAAAAAAACCTTGCGCCGAGCGTTCATGATCGCCTTTGCCCAGATGCGCCCTGGAAGCACCGCGCCCACGCGAACAGCAGCATCCACCGCAAGCGTCGCGGCCCGCACCGCTGCTCCCCTGCTCTCGGCATGATCGCACGGCGCCGGAGGGCGCATGCGCCAAGAGCGTGCTTTCGTCTGGAAATCGCATTGCGCTTGCGTGTTGGATTGATTGTGCTCGGTGGGGCACGGCACGCGGCCCACCCAGCAGTCCAGCTTACGAGCGTCGGGGGTGTCATTCGGCACCCAACGGGGGCATCCACAACCTGGGCACTCATGGTCGCGACCGGGGCTCGCTAGAGCAGCCTGCCGCTTCGTAGCGCTGTGCGCCGCCAGCCCACCACCGCGAGGCTGCAAAACGAACCCCCGACGTTGTCTACTCACCTGCGCTCTTTCTTTGGGCACGGCCTTTGCCTTAGAAACCATGGGCGCGAACGGTCGCAACCAGCAGACCTGCGGCAGCTTGAGCCACAACAGCTACGGAACATGGCTTTGCGACAGACACGCGCACATCTCCCTCCAACGCCACGTCGCACACGCCCATGGGCCAGGACCCAAACATCCACTCCGCTGGCGCACCCTTTCCTCTTATCCGCAACTGCGGGGATTAGATATTGCGTGTGTTACTTCGTGTGTTACTGCATCTGGTATTGGCTCCATTACCCTCTTGGCTGTTGTGCGTATCGTCTGTCGTGGACACATGACCCACATCAAAGACGCCGTCGATGACAAAACAATGCTTCCTGGGTGTGTCGATTGCCCGCTGTACGTACGATAGCATACAATTAGTGACTCCTCCTTCCTTAACATTCCGCAGGGACCCATTTAATCCTTAGGCTCGGATCCTTAAGAATCCCTCGAGTAGTCCTGACGAGTCCTCAGGACTCCCTCAGGAATCGTCAAGAATCCCTCTGGACTCCTCTTCAGACTCTCCCAAGATCGTGCTGTATACATTGAACCCCGCCAGCGTACACAGAGAGGCCCAACTGGTACACAAGAAATCCCACTACGTCGCAGAAAGACATTCTCTCCCGCCGTAGGCGATCGACATTATATCCCTGCCCCTGCTCACGCCCGTCCGCGAGGGGCCAGAGTGGGGATATTACTAGATTCTGGCCTTCGAGGCCACTGATTCATATCCATACCCTGCTGCACCTGGCACCAAGAGTGGGGGGCCAGCAGCAGGGGTTCTGGGTCGAACGTCGATCGCCGATGCTGAGTGTGTGTGTGTGTGTGTATGTGTGCGTGTGTGAAAGGGTTGGCGACACGAGGCCCCCGTGGGATGCAGCCGTGAATCGCCGAGCTGTGGGGGCGCCCGCCGGCCAGAGGAAACCCAGGGGAGGAGCAGAGGGGCATCCGGGGAAGGGGGGGAGCGCAGGGGCCCAGACCTCCTTGTGGGTGGCGACATCTGAACCCTGTGCCCACCAACCATCGACTCTCCTGAATCGATGGGAGGCGGGGGTGGGGTTCGGAGTTCGCCATGTGTTCGGCGAAATCCGAACCCTGAACCCGCCGTCCATCGAGTTGCCTGAATCGTTGGATCGGCGAGGGTATGATTCGGATTTCGCCGCCGATTTGGGTGAATCGAGCACAATCGCGCCAACAAACGTTTCTCATGTTTCGGCGTCGGGGGGCCGCTTGCTAACTTAGGCGCCGGCAAAAGGAGAAGCTCAGGACGTAAGCGGGCGCTGGGGAAGGGATAGGGGGTTCCAGAGGCTGGAGAATCGAACAAACATAGCCGTCTGTCTGGGGAGGGAGGAGGGGGCGAGGAAAGGCTTGTTCGGAGGGGAAAGGAGTAGAGAAAGGAGTGGTCGGGAAGACAGAAAACTATGTTTAGGATGTAACGGGTGTGTGTGTGTGTATGTATGTCTGTCTGTCTGTCTGTCTGTCTGTCTGTCTTTCTGTATGTATGTATGTAGGTATGTATACATATCTATATATATGATTCACCAAGGATTCGTAGTCTCAAGGAAAATGTGGGTTGCGAGCTATGCGGTCGCATAGCTTTGATGGCCAGGGCACTGAGTGCCACGCAGCACGGCTATACTGTACGGGCCGCGTGGCGAGGTGATGCGAGTGGCCTTGTTGTTGCGCCGCTCGGCGGAGCTCCCGGTCTTTCAGTCGGAGGGCCTCCGCGCGGGCAGGTGGCAGGCGAGGCACGTTGGCCATCATCCTCTCGCGGCAGCGCGGGCGCCTCCTGTCTGAGACGTGCGCTATTAGTCGCACTCGTTCGTGGAAGTTTTTCCTACACGCAGGGCATGTGGCGTTGGCGAGGAAGTCCTGGATGTCGAGGCGGACGCCGTGTTTGGCCCGCTGGTGGCTCTCGAGGGCCCTCTGGGACGAAAAGGCGCATCCACAGTGGCACTCGTATGCGCGCGCCCGCTCGGACGTAGGCCTGGCTGCCGTGTCGCACACAGACGCAAAAAACATTATGCGCTCTACGAGCGTCTTCCAAACCTGTTCCTGCATAATAATGAGGTCGTGCCAGTGCTCCTGGCCATCCTGCTTGAGCTGCTACGGGGCCAGCACCAGCACGTGCAGTCCGAAGAACAAACTGGTGAAGAACAACGTGCGGGCGAATATTAGCTTATGCGCCTCCAGCACTCGCGCGGAGCCGTAAAGCTTCCATGCTAGCGGCACGTACGCCCTCATGGTGGACGACGAGCGGTGCTTGACGTTGGCCAGGGACACTGAACGCAGCGACACGTGTGTGCCTAGATGCTTGTACGCTTCCACCACATCGATGGAAAGGCTCGGGTGCGGAACAGCAAGGCGGAGGCGGCCGTCGACACAGCGTCGGGCCTCCCGGCACTCCTTGGCGCCAGGGCCTCAATATTGCAAGAGGCATTCAGTCTTGCCGGGCGCGGCATTCAGCTGCAGGTGTAAGCACTCGAATACCTCCAAAACCGTGCCGAGGAGGGCGTCAATGGCGACGTCGAGGTCTTTAGGCCTACGGGCAACGATGGCCAGAGCCTCATCGTCGATGAAGGCCGCGTCGAGCACGGGCCTGGACCCCTTGCCGGCCCCCTTGTGGGGCCACCAGGCTGTAGGCCGAAACTTCGCAGTTTCCTGTACCAGTTGCAGCTTCCAATTTCCACTGTTACAGTTCTGCTTCTTGCTGCTTGCTGTTCCTTGTTGACTTCCTGCTGCTTACTGTTCCTTGTTGATCGACTGCGCGAGGGGGAGAGGCCCAAAATGTTGTCTGAATTGCTGGGGCGGATGAAAATTGACACCCCTCACGCAGATCGGCGGGGTCAGGGTCCAAAAACACATGGGATTTGCCACATTTCTGGAACCCGACCCAACACTTCGAGACTTCCGGCGCAAGAGGCCCCCAAGAAAGCACACGAGGCCTCTCAGAGGCCCCCCAGAAGGCCTCAGGGGGACCCCAATAGGCCCCAAGATGCCCAACAGGCCCCGCAATCGTCCCGAAAAGGCCCCGCAATTGTCCCCAAAATCCGTCGAAAACCAAGAGCTGTGATTTTGGTTTCTTCGGGCCTTCCTGGAGGTCCTCGTGGGTACTCTCATGCCGTCTTGGAGGCCGCTTGGCGGCTTGTTAGGCCGTATTTGCCCAACTTGAGGCCATCTTGGACCCGCTTGGGTGCATCTTGGGCCGTCTTGGAGACATCTTGGGGTCATCCTGGGCTCTCTTGGGCCCATCTTGGCCGTCTTGAGGGCATCCTGTCGGCAATGTTGGGCCATCTTGGCCATCTTGGCGGCAATCTGGGACCGTTTCTGGGCCCTCCTGGGGCCGTCTTAGGGGGCCTCTTGGGCTGTCCCGGGGCAATCTTGGAGGCCTCTTGGGCGCTCTTGGGGCAATCTTGATGGCCTCTTGAGCCGTCTTGGGCCTTCGGAAAACCCCTTGAGGCGTCTTGAGGCGTCTGGGTTTCCTGGAGGTCAACTTGGAGGCCTCTTGGGCCGTCGTGGAGGCCTCTTGGGGGCTGCTTAGGCCGTCTTGGGCGATCGTGAGGCAATCCCTCCCTCCACCTCCCTCCGCCTCGTCCTCCACCTACTCCTCCACCTCCCCTTCCACCAACCAGATCGCATCGGGAGCGCCCCCCGATCGGCGACACTGGCCGGAGGCCACTACAATATACATATATATATATATATATATATATACATATATACACACAGAAATATCGACGGTCCAAGCGTGCCAATGACATTTTCCTGGCTACCAGAATGCCATATCGTAACTGGGGTGGGGTCAGCCAAGACACAACCAACCCGAGAACCTTCCAAAAACCGACCGAATGCCCAGACGAGGGATCCAGGGCGGAGTGGGGACCCGTCTCAAGCCAAGAGAACTCAGCGAGACCGTGCGCGGAATTTCCGCTCCCAACTGCCTACTAACGGGGCACTACCGTCTGCAAGACGCAAACTGTCGCGCTCCCGCGCAGTGCCAGGGTACGCGCGGGGGGTAAAGAGACCAGGAGGAACAGGATAATTAGGGGAGGGAGAACAAAGATCATCCTGGGCGTGCGCTGATATGAAAGAGACGCTGGGATTTGTTCGCTGGTTCGGGGCCCCCCAGGGGGCCCCGCACGGATCCCGGGACTGTAAAAACCTGCTCAGGATGAAGAGCTGGTCCTGGGAAGCTCCCTGGGGTCTAGGACCGTTTCCCTCTGGACCCCTGTCCCAAGACAGGGATGATTCAATGGGTGGGACGCCAGAACATTCAAAATGGGCGAACGTGCGGACCGAAGGACGGCCCACGAGCGAGTCTGGCCTGGACTGCTCCCCGATGCCCCCCCTCCCAAGGCCCTTCTCTATGCGTTCGCCCCTCTCCAGATTCACCCTCCGAGCTCCCTCCTCCAAATGCCCGCCCACCTCCCTCCCAACATGCCACCTTCTTTTTTCTGGCCCCCTCGAACCATACAAAGATCGCGCCAATCTTGGAGCGAAACCGCATCCCTTGGGCGTGCAACTTGTGCCTTTCGAGTGAGCCAGCGCCTCGCTAGACAACATCGAGCATCGACTGCTCAAGCTTCTGATGGAATTGCGTCGGGATTGTCGTTGCACCTTGGCGCGTTGCCTTACACTCCAAGAAAGTGCCCGCCCTGGAAAACAATCTCGCGATGGATGATGCCGTCGGCTGGGTCGCGGGGCGCCTTCAGCCGCGCGAGCCGGTACTTCTCGTGCGCCAGGTCCTCCGCCTCGCGCATGGTGTCACGGCTCGCGTCCATGTCGCCATCCTGGGCGGGCGGGATGAATGATGATGGCGACGACGACGGAAGACGACGACGATGACGATGACGGCGAAAGGACGATGATGATGACGATGGTGGTGATGGTAATCCGCCACCGTGCCTCGAGGCACGAAGTGGAATCACCCCCAGGCTCTCATGTGTTCACTGTTCTGTGTACACCGAACTGGGGGATTCTAGTATTCTACGGGCTTGGACCCCATATTTCTCAAATTTCCTGGGCGCTCCCGCGCGCTCCTGGGCTGCTTCGCGTGACTCTTCCAAAGCCTGGGGGCTCCAAGGCGGGCCCAGAGGGGCCCAAGAAGCGCTCCAAGACAGCCCAAGAGCTCTCTAAGACGCCCAGGGTGGTCTCAAAACAGCTCAAGAGGCCCCAAAGCAACCCCAAGAGCGCTCCAAGGGGATCCCCAAGAGGGCACAAAAAAACACGAATCATTGATTGTTATTTTGTTGGTTGATCATTGATTGTCCGTGTCTTTTTGGGGGGGAATGTTTCGCAGTCTCGCTGTTTCGAGCTTCCGACGTTCCAAGATGGCCCCAGAGGCCCCCAAGACCGTCCCAAAACGGCCCAAGAGGCCCCCAAAAGGGCCCCAAGACGGCTCCAAAACGGCCCAAGAAGCGCACAAGATCGTCCAAGAGGGCCTTCAGACGGCCTCAAGAAGGGCCCAAGAGGGGGAACACGAACCGACAGGTCGAGCCGTCCTCCCCAAGAGGCCTCAAGGAGGCGCCTTGGAAGCCCCCAAGAATGCCCAAGAGGCCGCCGAGAGGCCCTGCGAGGCCCCCAAGAGGCCCAACAAAACACCCCAAGTGGCCACCAAACGGCCCCCAATAGGCTTCAAACTGCCTCCAAGAGGCCCACGATGAGGCCCCCCACGAGATCCAAACGAACTGGCCCACAACCCAAGCACGGTGGCGGGGTGGGCCAAAGGCTACTCGATCCGCCGCCCCCTGCTTGCAGGGGTGCCCGGCGTGCTGGATGAGCTGTCAGGTTTTGGTTTTGGTTCTTTTTCCAAAAGAACTCTCCAGTGGGCTTCGGCCCGTCCCGCCGGCCACCCGGAAAGGATGCCCAGGAGCTCAATTCCCGAATTTCCTGCCCCAGACGGTTCCAAGATGGCCTCCAAGATGCCTCTAAGACGGCCAGGATGGTCTCTAAGACGGCTAAGATGGCTCCAAGATGCCTCCAAGACGGCCCAAGATGCCCTCCAAGACGGCCAAGATGGCCCCAAGATGCCTCCAAGATGGCCCAAGAGGCCTCCAAGACGTTCTCCAGGAGAGCCCGAAGAGGCCAAAATCATTGGTTTTCCTTAGGTTTTTGAAGGTTTTTTGCGTTTTCTTCTTTTCGGCCTTCCGACGGCCCAAGAGGCCCCCAAGATCGCCCAAGAGGCCTCCAAGAAGGCCCTATGACGGCCCAAGGGCCCCCCAAGACGGCCCCAAGAGCGCCCCAAGACGGCCCAAGAGGCCTCCAAGACGCCCAACATGGCCTCCAAGACGGCCCTGAAGCGCCCCAAGAGGGCCCCAAGACGGCCCAGAGAGGCCCCCAAGACGGCTCCAGACGGCGTCAGACGGACCAGGAACGCCCTAAGACGGCCAAAGAGACCCCCAGGAAGCCCCCAAAGGCCCCCAAGAGGCCCAAGGAGGCCCCCAAGATGCCTCCAAGAGGCCTCGAAGAGGCCCCCAAGAAGCCCCCAACAGACCCCAAGGGTGCCCCAAGAGACTCCTAACAACCCTCATCCTCCTACTCTATTTCTTCCTCTTCCTCTTCCTGTTCATAATCATTCTCTCCCATGTGTTCCCCGAAAGCTTTCCAAACCGACTCGGGGAACTCATGGTCCGATAGCTTGGCCAAGCTCTAGTCCAACTTTCGGCCACATCGGCGTTTCCAAAAAGGCAGGGGGCGGCGGTGATTCGCCGTAGGCGTCTTCGATAATGATAGTGACGATGAAGGATGAAGACGACGACGAGACGGCGCCAACGAGGATGACGCTGATGGCTACGATGGCAATGCTGATGCTGACGGCGAAAAGGGGCGACAAGTATGACGACGATGATGGCGATAACGGCGACGATGGTCATAGTGATTATGATGGTGCTGGCGACGGCAAAGGAAGACGACCACGGCGATGACGACGACACCGACAACGATGGTGATGGTGAAAATGATAAAGATGATGATGCGGGTGATGATGGCGATAACGGTTATCACGGTAATGGAAATGGCGTGGGTGAACTGATGACCATGCAGACGGCGACGAGCGAAAACGACGAACATCACGACGGTGATGACTATTATGGTGGTGATGGTAATCACGATGATGTTGTTGGTGATGGTGATGATGATGGCGGTGGTGGCGGCACCGGCGGATGAATACGACGACGATGACGGCGATGACGACGACGCCAAAAAGGACGATGAGGGCGACGATGGTGATGATGGTGGTGACGATGATAGTGGCGACGGGGTACGGATGACATTGGCGAGAGAAGGCGGCGACGACGTTGATGGCAACGGCGACGGCAAAGGCGACGACGATGATGGCGGCGATACTGACGATGGTGTTGATGATGGTAGCGGTGACGATGGCGAAGGCAGAGGAGGAGGACGACGACGGTGATCAGGATGGTGACGATAACGATGATGATGGTAATGGCAAACGGTGAAAGACGACGACGATGAGACCGATGACGCAGATGACGACGACGACGAAGAAACTGATGGTGATGATGTTGATCAGAGGGTGGTGCTGATGGCGACGATGGCGAATGATGATAGCGACGACGCTGACGACTGCGACAATGATGACGATAGTGGTGATGGCCATCATGGTGATGGCGGGGACGAAGGATCTCCAAGAAGGTAATGACGACGTTGGCGACGGCGACGACGATGACTATGATAGTCATGATGGCATGGGCGGTGGCGACAACGAAGGACGACGACGATGACGACAACGTCGGCGGCGTCAGCGAGGATACTAATGATGCTGCAAGCGACGATGACACATGAACACGGCGGCGGCGACGACGATGACGACGACGGCGATGGTGATGATAACGATGCCGGTGCGACGACGACGACAATGATGTCAGGGATGGTGGCGATGGTAATGGTGGTGGCGACGACGACGGCGGCGAGGGACGACGACGACGACGACCACGATGATGGTGGCGATGACGGCGACGATGGTGCTGGTGGCGATGATGGTAGCGGTGATGATGTTGATGGCGACGACGACGAAGACGACGACGATGGTGACGATGAAAGCAACGATGACGATGACAGCGGCGACGACACAGGAGGCAGACGACGACGATGACCATGATGGCAACGACGACGACGATGATATATATTTTTCGAAAGGGAGCAAAAGTGCCGATCCGACGACCGACGGGGGGGGTAGGCTGGGCCAGACCCACCGTCTTGCCGATGTCCAGGAAGCCACCGCACATCCAGTGCAGGAAGCACCTGGCATGACGGCGCAAACGGCGTTAGCCCCCGTGGGAATGCAGACAACGCTCGCCACCGCCCACCAGGAAAAACAACCGAAAGAACGCACGATGCACAACGCGGCGGTTCAGCCCAATTCGTGAAACAATTTGGTAATGCCAACAGCATGAGTACCCCGAAGGCGAGGCTCATCAAGAAGAGCGGCACGCCGACGTAGACGCTTAGGCTCAGAGTCATGGGGATCTGCATGGCCAAGGCACTGTGCGCGTACCTCATAAAGGTCAACGCCCGGATGGCCCGCATGACTCGCACGAGCAGCAGGAAGCGCACGAACAGCAGGAGGCACACCCTCGGGGAGCATACAACTAGGAGAATCCTCCAGCATGGCCGTCTGCCTATCGATCATGTTCTGGAATGCAGACAATTTGCTGTCCGCACACAGGGCCTCCCCAAAACCACCGGGAGGAAGGGCATCGGCGCCAGGAAGCTGCAAGAGAAGACCATCATCGTCAACAAACCTTCCGCAACGCCTGCAAACACAACTTCGTCACACAAATCAGTAGTATGGGCATTCGGGTCCAGAAAGCCGTGAGGGGAGCCACCCACCACTGGCAAACTCAAGGACAAATACATGAACGTCAGCAACATGTGTCGCCTCGAAAGCCTGCGGGAAACCACCCGCCGCCGAGTTCCGGGTAGAAACGCAATCAGATACACCACTGGGCACAAACTCAAGCTCCATCGCGTAGACTGGGTGGGCTGGGCCGGCAAGGAGCTGAAGACCCCCACGATGGTCGGCAACAAAATCGCCTCGAAGCATATACCCGCCCAGAGGACCAGCACGATTCGCATCACCAGGAAGGTCAACATTACCAGGTACATCGGAGGGCCGCACCCTGAGGTCGAATCCGAAGCGCCTGGTACAACGTCCCTGCCGTCCACGGGTCACACCCTTGGGCACATGGATCAACCGCGCGCCTTGCACAAGGACCGTGGCGCCGCCTGCCGCGACCGCCACGACCACCACGGCCATCATCTCCGTCATCGTCACCGCAAGAAGGACCATCAGGCTCGTTACCAAACCCTCCAGGTCTACCAGATCCACCAGGACTACCATGGGAAGCGTCAATCTGTCGACACCACAAACATGCCTCAACAAGGCCATCGGAAAATCGATGCCCTCGGTCCACTGCGATGTGATCCAGCATGCGCATGACCATGGCGTGAGTAGTCGACGACGCTGTAGCACCGCCAGGGCACAAGACCCTCAGCTTGCACTTGGCGGGGTCTCGCGTCGCACCAAGGTGAAAGCCACATGCCACACCTGCAGCGACACGATCACGAAACCAGGCGATCCGATACGCGCGGCCACCACCATCGGCGTCATGGCAGAGGAACGGCACGACTGGGGGGGGAAGGGGCAGCAACGCCGCGGCGCCCGAACGCCGAGGAAACCACGGACAAGCAACTGGTTGAGAGCAGATGGCAGCGATGACGGTGATGCTGATGACGATGGTGATGACAATAATGGTGGTGATGATGCTGA